CTTTTGGAAGAAAAAGATAAAATATATCTATCGACAATGGAATCTACAAACAAAATGAACAGGTAGAACAGAAACATTCTCATAGATACAGAGAATATTTTGTTGGTTGCCAGATGGGAGGGGGGCTGGGGGAATGGGTGAAAAAGGTGAAAGGATTAAGAAGTACAAATTCATTGCTAGACTGACAAACCTCAAAGGGAAAGGGGTTGGGGGGTGGAAAGAAATAAACCAAAGAACTTATATGCATAACCAATGGACACAGACAATAGTATGGGAAAAGGTGGGAGGCGGGCGGAAGTAGGGTGGAGGGGGTCAATGGGGGAAATATGAGGAACATCTGTAATACATATAACAATAAAAATTTAAAATAAAACAAACAAAAACAAAAGAAATGAATAGAGAGTTTAGCTGCTGTCCATTGTAAGGGAGATAGTTTAGAGTCTGTGTCCAACTAATTTAACTGCCTGCTAAAACAACAACAAAATCAGTACTTTCCAATGTCTATAATAGGATCCAGAAGTCCTACAATAAATTATTCCCAATACCTAGTATACAATCCAAAGTAATTCAATATAAAAGAGGGAAGTGTTATTCATATTCAAGAGTAAAGATGATAATCAATAAAGACAGACCCCAAGATGACGCAAATATCCAAACAAGCAGTCAGAATTTTAAAGCTATTATTATAACTTAGGTCAAAGCTGCAGAAAAAAACATGCTCAAAATGAATGAACACAGGAAATTTCAGAGAAATAAAAACTATAAAAAAAAGTATTAATTAGAAATTGTAGAACTAAAAAGTACGATAGTTAAGATTAAAAATTCACTGGCTAGGTTGAACAGATTTGAGATGATAGAAAAGTCAGTGCATCTGAATATAGGTGAACAGAAATTATAAAATCTGAAAAACAGAGAAAAACACACAGTTTTGTAATCTGTGGGACAATACCAAAAAGGACAACATACATGAAATTGGGATCTCAGAATGAGTGCAGAGAATGAGGCTGGGAAAAATTTGAAGAAATAATAGCTGAGAGTTTCCCAGATTTGGTAGAAGACATAAATGAACACATTGAAGAAACTTTGCAAATCCTAAACAGAACAAAGAAAAAACCATACCAAGGTACAACACAACCAAATTGCTTATAAAAACACATTTTTTTATAATCCTCACCCAAGGATGTTTTCCTATTTATCTTCAGATAGAGTGGGAAGGAAGGAGAGAAAGGGAGAGAGAGGGAGAAACATCAACATGAGAGGGACACATTGATAAGTTGCCTCCCGCATGATTCCAACCAGGGCTGGTGATAAACCGCAACCAAGGTACATGCCATTGGCTGGAACTGAACCCGTGACACATTGGTCCCTGGGTCGACACTCTAGCCGCCGAGCCAAATCGGCCAGGGCTAAAGAAAAAAAGTTTTTTTTTTAAAAAATTTTTGTTTTTGTTATTTTACTTTTCCTTTTTCTTTTATTGACTTTTTTTTTTTAGAGACAAAGGGAGTGAGAGGGAGAGAGAGAGAGAAACATCAATGAGCAAGAACATCCATTGGCCGCCTCCTGCATGCTCCTCACTGGGGATCAGGTCCACAACCTGGGCATGTGTTCTGACCAGGAATCGAACTGGTGACCTCTTGGTGTATGGGTCAATGCTCAACCACTGAATCACACGGGCCGGACAAAAAAAAATCTTAAAAGCAGCCAGGAAAAACAAAACATCACACTACATACTTCATACGAGAACAATATGAAGGATGGTTGACTTCTCACCAGAAACAATGGAGACCAGAAAACATTGGAGTGACAACTTAAACATATGAAAAGAAAAAAAACTCAACCCAGACTTTCTATATCCAGAAAATATCCTACAAGAATAAAGGGTATGTGTGTGTGTGTGTGTGTGTGTGTGTGTGTGTGTATGTGGAGAATAAAGACAAAATTAAAACATTTTCAGGAAGATGAAAACTAAGTGAATTTATCACAGCAAATGTGCTGTAAAAAATGCTAAAGGTTGTTCTTTGGGCTAAAGGAGCTAAGATGGAAACGTGGATATTCAGAAAGAAAGGAAAAGGTAAAAATGTGGGCAAATATAAGAGGCTATTTTTTTGTTTAAATTACTTTACTATACATTTAGTTGTTTAAAGCAAAAACTGTAACATTGTATTATGGGATTTACAGCATATATAGATGTAATGTACATAACTAGAGCAAGAAAGATGGGAGACAGTCAATGTAATTATGTAGTTGCAAGGTTCTTATAGTTTACATAAAGGGGTACAATATTAACTTTAAGAAGATTGAAAAGTTCAGGATTTGTATTCTAATCCTTATGTAAATTGACACACAAATAATAGTGCAAAGAACTGTAGCTAAAAGAAAACAAATTAAAATGGAATTCTAGCTCTGGCCAGTTTGGCTCGGCAGTTAGAGCGTTGGCCCACAGACCAAGGAGTCACGGGTTTGATTCCAGCCCTGGTCAGGTTGTACGGGAGGCAACCAGTCGATGTATCTCTCTCACATCTGTGTTTCTCTCTCTCTCTCTGTCTCCCTCCCTCCCACTCTATCTGATGATAAATGTAAAAACATCCTCAGGTGAGGATTAAAAAAATAAATAAATAAAATGGAATTCTAAAAAACATTCAATTGACCCAAAAGAAGGCAGGAAAAGAGGAACAAAGAAACAAGAAAATGTGGAACATATATAAAACAAATAGCAAAATAAAAAACTTAAATCAGCCCTGGCCGGTTTGGCTCAGCGGTTAGAGCGTCGGCCTGCGGTCCCGAGAGACCCAGGTTTGGTTCCCGCTAAGGGCATGTACCTCGGTTGCAGTTTGTCCCCGGCCCTGGTTGGTCGTGCGGGTGGCAGCCACTCGATGTGTCCCTTTCACATCCATGTTTCTCTCTCTCTCTCTCTCCCTCCCGCTCTACCTGAACAAAAAATGTCCTCGGGTGAGGATTAAAAAAAAAAAAAAAAAGTTAAATCAACCACTTTGATAACTGCATTAAATGTAAATAGAATAAATACTCCATGTGAAAAATTAATTCTCAGAATGGATGAAAAAAGAAAGACCCAACAACACACTGTCTGTAAAAAACACATTTTCCAAGAATACATAAAAAAGAATTTTTGTCAACACCAAGAGGAACCAGAGGTTGCTTTAACACTCCAAAGTCAACACTGTAATTTATTACAATAACAGAATCTTGGAGAAAAACCCTGGAAATATTCCAGGTGCCCATCAATAGGAGAACTGATAAAACATCATGAATTGCTGAGATACGAGTGAGCAATGAAAAGGAAAAGGAAAAATTCCCTGGTAAGTACACGTGGATGAGTTTCAGAAACATGCAGAAAAGCAGCTTACACAGGAGACCACCAACTACATGGTTCTATCATATAGGAAGTCCCACAACAGGCCAAATCGCCTCCATGGTTAACAAGAACAGAGAGAACAGGAGCTGCCTCTAGGGAATGGGGTAGGGTGACAGAAGTTTGTGTTATATAAATTTACGTTATTTAAAAAATTGACTGAATGCACATTTCACTGCATGTAAAATTTAAAAAGCCACAAATATTAAAGTCTAGTTAATGATATGCAGGCTGAAGTGTTTAGGGTTGAAGTGTACTGATGCCTGCAAGTTACTCTGAAATACATTTTAAAAAAAGATAAGATTGATGAATGACTATATATGTATAAAGCAAATAACAAAAAGTTCACTACCATAGGATTTCGTTGGTGGATATATGGGTGTTCACTATATAATTCTTTCAAGATTTCTACAGTTTAAAACCCAGGAACAGATCTTTCTTGGTACACACACTCCTTTTTGATACACTCTGTGAACAAATCAGATCTCCCCAAATCTTAAAAACAAAGTATCCCCAGTTGTTTTAAACTTTAATACCTTCTACATCTGTATTACATAACAGATCTGAAGCAGCCATCAGCCCTGCATTATAGTGACAGACTTTTAGGGTTGCAAGAGACAATAAAACTTATACCTAAGAGTCCCACACTTTTTATATTCATTACTAACTTTTGAAATCCCTTAGGCTTTAAGGAATTTTAGGTTGGGAATTTCTAATGTGGTCCAATTCCTCTTCCTTTTTTTTTTTCCCCAAAATCCTCACCAGAGGATGTGTTTTTTTATTTTGAGAGAAGGAGCAAAAGGAAGGGAGAGAGAGGAAGAGAAGAAGAGAGAGAGGGAGGGAGGAAGGGAGGGAGAGAGAGAGGGAAGGAAAGAGAGGGAGAGGGAAGGAGAGAGACGGGGGAGAGAGAGATGGGGGGGGGAAGGAGGGAGAGAGAGAAAAGATCCATCGGTTGCCTCCTGTACTTGCCCTCACTAGGGATGGAACCCACAACCCAGGTATGTGCTCTGACTGGGAATCAAACCCAAAACCCTTTTGGTGTATGGGATACCACTCCAACCAACTGAGCCACCCAGCTGGGGCCTAAATCCTTCTTTTCTAGATGGAACACATTTATTCATTGGTATACTCTCCCCAAACCAGCATTATCATACAGGGTGAGTAGGTTTACAGTTGTTCGTATGGGAAATAATACAATAATAAATAAATAATAACACAGCCCGGCTAGTGTGGCTCAGTGGATTGAACATCATTCCATGGACTGAGAGGTCCTGGTTTGACTCCGTCAGGGTACATGCCTGGGTTGTGAGTTCGATCCCCAGTAGAGGGCATGCAGGGGGCAGCTGATGGATGTTTCTCTCTCACATCGATGTTTCTCTCTTTCTTTCCCTTCCTCTCTCTCTAAAATATAAAAAAGGAATTTAAAATAAATAAAAATACAAAAACAAACTGTGTTTCCTATACTCACAACTGTAAACCAACTTTTGCCCCACCCTGTATATTACACTATAATGTACCCAACTGGCAGGGAAGAAAAGTGAAGTCTCCCAACCTTTGATATACCATGAGGAAAATGCTATTTCTCTTGAAAAAGAAAAATAGGGTAAACCTTGCACAAAGCAGAGCATACCTCCTGTTCTGTCTGATAAAGCTTGACGGTGATGTTCCTTTGGAAACCCTCATCACTGGCGTCATAAAACACCCCGAGACTGGTAATAACGATTGGGTAGAGAACTCGAAAGCTCACGCTGACGACTCGGTCCTCAGAGAACCCTGATGAAGTGTCTTCAGATAAACTGAACGCCTCAATTTCCTGATTCAAAACTAAGAAAGTAATAAAAAAGGAGTTTGACACAATCAGATAATATAAAGTAATGAGGTCAGCTTGATAGCAAAATCTAGATACTTATTTGTATATAATTCTTTCAAAAAGAGTAGTAAATTTTCAAATGCTTCAGAAATAAAGCTGAAGGCCCTGCAGTTGTCTGTCTAATCAAGGTCAAAAACAGTTTTCTTCAAATAAGTTTTTCAATTACCATAGATGACTCAGGACAGATTACATGAAGCAGTTAATATGGCTGAGAATATCAGTGCCACTTTGAAAATATAAAAACCTATTTTAAAAGATTATTATACCAGCCCAGCTGGTGTGGCTCAGTGGCTGGGCATTGACCCATGCACCAAAAATCGCCAGTTCGATTCCTGGTCAGGACACATTCCCAGGCTATGGGGCCCATCCCCAGTGGGGGGCATGCAAGAGGTGGCCATTTGATGTTCTCTCTCATCGATGTTTCTATCTCTCTCTCCCTCTCCCTTCCTCTCTCTCAAATCAATAAAGAAAAAAAAAACGCTGATCGAAGGTCATACAGCTGCAAAATGGCAGCACCGAGATCTAAAGCCAAGAAGCCTGACTCCAGAGCCCATGATCTTCATTAACCACTACACTAGTGCTGCCTAGAATAGTAAGGTGTATATGATATAGGTTTCACAAATTTTAAAATACCAGAAGTCATAATCTGATCACAACTGAGATCTGAAAAGTTTACTCTCCCTTAGAACCACACCTAAACATAATAGGAAATGCTAATAAACCAAGAGAGGCAGTAACAAAATTACCAACTTCCCAATATTGGTTCCCTGGCACCACACAGAACCTTATTAGGACCACCTTGAACTCCTACAAATTTTAATTGTAAGGAATAAAAAAAAGTACTACTTGTATTTTTTTTTTTAATCCTCACCCAAGGACATTCTTGCATTTATCTTCAGACAGTGTGGGAGGGAGTGAGGGAGGAAAAGGGAGAAACATCAACATGAGAGAGACACATCAAGTGGTCGCCACCCACATGACCCCAACCGGGGCCAGGGACAAACTGCAACCGAGGTACGTGCCCCTAGCAGGAACCAAACCCGGGACTCCCTCGTCTGTGGGCCGACGCTCCAACTGCTGAAACAAACCAGCCAGGGTGTGTATTTTCAATTTTTTACTCTTTGTATCTTTTGCAGAAGCTCAGGCAATAATTCTAAGAGAAAGTGGATTCACAATATTTGTATCAAGGCTATTATAAATCAACAGGCTGGTGGAATCAGCAGTTTTCCAAAAGTTCAAAATTCAGTAATTGAGGGTTTATCTTTGAATGAGGAATTTACAGACGTACTTGAATCACACTAAAAATAAACCCTCCTGACCCTAAAATTATATATATCTATAAAGAATCTTCAGATACCCGGAGTGATTAGTCAATCTGTTAAAAAGAATGAAAGATACATTTTGAGGTAAGCTCAATTTTCGTCTAAAAACATACACCGTACCAGTTCAGCGCCTTTCCTCAACATCACACCTGTAGAAGCAGTCACAGGGCTGAGGAGAAGAGACTCACCTGGGTTCGTGATGTTGAGCAGTGTGCAGGAGTAAGGGTCTTCCCGGTCCTCCACAGGCACGTCACAGCCACGAGCTCCTATTATGAACTTCACCAGCACACTGAGAAGTGCGGCATTAACATCGGTTACTAATCTTCACCCTGCATATTCACGTTTCCTCATACCCATTTCAGAGCTTTTAGTTTGAGACACAGTATTTATTAGCATTGATTCTAACTTTATTCTTCCAGTCTAGCCAAAAGAAGGAACAAGTAAATCCAAAGATGCTAACTACCAAGTGACTTGCATGTGAACTCTCCGCTGTAGTCCTGCATGTAGTAAAGCAAGTGTGAACACGTTTGGCATGGCTACCAGTCACAGCTCATGCCAAAAGCAAACTACAGTGAAATCAACTTCTCAAGCCTACACCTAAAAACCCATCTCTATCTGCAGTCTTCTCTACTTGCTTTCTTCTACGTCAAGACTAGTCTTTCTACTTGGGAGGCTGTCCTCTCCCCTCCTCCACATTGCTTTACCAGTTACCTGTAACTCGTGGCTCCTTCCCTACACATTATAAATATGATGAAGTCCTGACATCAATTTCTATTTGCCTACTGTCCTTCCTTGTCCACACAATTTCCTTTACAGTGAAATTCTACAAAGCAATTAACTAAAATTGCAGCCTCTAGTTTCTCATTTCCTACTCATTTTATAAAATAGAAATTTAGCTTCAATATCCACTACTTCCTCTGAGATGTCTACCACCAATATTGGTTGCTGCTAAATCAACAGGTACTGGCTCGACAGCACTAGTCTCCTTAAATGCTTTCTTCCCTTCTTTATAGGCCCTGCTCAGTTGGCACTGCTGGCTCTTGTTCTCCAGCTGGTCCTTTAAGAATGAATAGGACCCAGGGCTTTGCCCTTGAATCTCTTTTTACTTGTTCTCCCTGAACAATACTTATTCTCAAGGCTCTAACTAGCCTGGGCATGATTCCTGAATTGGCAGCTCTAGTTTGGACCCATCTTCTAAGTAAAAGATCCATCAGTTCATTGGACATCTCCACCTAGCCAGCCACAGAGAGCTGTGTGCTGGAGCCTGTTCCTATTAGTGGGTGAGAGTAAACTGCTGGATTTTCAGGAATTCCGTGAGCTGGTTATTTATTTATTTTTGTGTGCTGATCATTAAGCACAAGTTTTATTAGAAACTAAATTACATAAACTTAAAATTAAATATATTATTAAAAACAAAGGAAATGAATACTCAAATTAATGTGCTAATTATTTCACTATTATCTCTGCTCTTGAGGTTATTTATCTCCATTAGCTCTGTATGGTGGAAATATTATAATGCATGCTATTGTGTATCTTCCCAAACTCTGTCCAGAGATATCACATTAGATGCCTGAAACTGGCCATGGTGGGATCACTTACAACAGGAAAACTGGCAAACACTGCCAAGAAGGGTTGATTTCTTGTTTTGTTGATTGTCTAGACTTAAAATGATGAAGAAAATGTTAACAATGCAGATTAAATTTAAAATGTGATGTGACTGTAGCCATTCCACTGTGAATAGTACAAAAAATAGTACAAAATACTCTTCCACTGTTCAAAACCACTCACTTTATCAACTACAAGTCGTCACCTTAGTCTTACTCTTGTCAGAACTATACTCTTGTCAACTGCAACCGTGAGTGAGTTATGAAACCATTCTATGAGAATCAACTGGCTATACAGACTTTACAATAAAAAGTATTGTACATGTATTATCTGTCAATTTTGTGCTGCACATCATCTCTATCAACAAAGTTTATAATATACAGACACATATATAAACACTTCTCTTCAAAGGGCCAGCTGGTAAACATCTACCACTGCCTGCAGGTACCTCAGACTCAACGCATCCACAACTGAGATTTCCCGTGCTCTTCTCACCTAGCATTTTCTGTCCTGACTGATGCCTTCACTCCTCTCCAAGTTAGAAGGCTAGCTGCCATCCTAGACTCCTCCTCTTTCCACAAACAATGACCTTATTTCCTCACAAGGCCGCCACTTAGTTCAGCTCTTTAGCATTCTTGCCTTAACAGCTCTCACTTGACCCCGTAACGCTCAATGCAAGTGTTCAGCGTTATCTGGTCATACCTCTGTTATACACCCTCCCTCCTTCTCTTTCTGCGGTAATCTCTGTCTCTCTGCCCCACTTCCCTGTTCTAATGCTCAGTCTCACACTTACCCACACAATACACTGTATCTATATATTTTTGTATTCCACTATACACTGTATACTACCCTATACAGAAGACACTATTAAATACTTGTGAAATTGACAATTTAGGGTTTTATTACAAAGGTTTTCAATTAAGTAAGGTTCTTGAAATATATATGGAGTCTGGCTCCTTCAGTGAAATCCAAGACCTGAAAGTAAACCATACCACAGAAATGCAAACACTTTTACTAAGGGCCAATTAAGGCAGAACATCTTTCATAAATAAAGAGCATTTAGAATAAAAGTATAAACAGAAATTAATAAATTTGCTAATTAAATTATTGCAGATATTCACCTAATTTGTATTTTTTAAATCCATCTTAAATACTCCTACTAGATCCAAAAAATTACCAGGAAGTTATTTTTGGCTAATAACTTATTTCTATATAGATATCTCATAATTTTAAAAAAACAAATCACCAAACTTACTAAATTTAAAGCAAGAATGCTATTATGGCAAATAAATTACTGGTGAGAACCTGAATGTTAATTGCATTCATTCCATTTAGATCTGAGTCATCCTCCTCTCAATAGTTGTTGAGTGCTTTAGTCTATGTCAAGTTAGGATCTAGGTACTGGGAATATACATCGGTCAAAAAAACTGAAGCCCCTACGCTCTTAAAACTTATATTCCAGCGGGAAAGACAATTTATAAATATTCAGCTAAATATAATACATGTGCTAGTTGGTGATAAGTATTATAAAGAAAAATAAAGGGGGGTGGAGGTAGAAGAGGGTATGGGAGAATAAATGGTGATAAAAAAAGAGACATTAAAAAATAGCCTGGCCAGCCAGCCCTGGCCAGTATGGCTCAGCGGTTGGAGTGTTGGCCTGTGGACAAGAGTCCTGGGTTCGGTTCCCGCTAGGGGCACGTACCAAAAAAAAAAAAAAAAAAGCCTGGCCAGTGTGGCTCAGTGGTTGAGCATCGACCCATACACCAAGAGGTTGCCAGTTTGATTCCTGGTCAGGGCACATGCCCAAGTTGTGGGCCCAATCCCCAGTGGGGGGCATGCAGGAGGCGGCCAATCGATGTTCTTCTCTCATTGATATTTCCATCTGTCTCTCCCTCTCCCTTCCTCTCTCAAATCAATAAAGAAAAGATATTTTTAAAAAAAGTAAAAATAATACAACTGAGAAACTAAAAAAAAAGAGAAATAAAGCCAAGGCCCTGGCCAGTGTGGTTCGGTTGGTTCAGCATCATCCTGTGCACCAAAAGGTTGCTGGTTTGATTCCCGATCAGGGCTCATGCCTGGATTTTGGGCTCGATCCCCAGTTGGGGGCAAGTAGGAGGCAGCCAATGGATGTTTCTCTCTCACATTGATGTTTCTCTCGTTCTCTTTCTCCCCTCCTCTCTAAAAAGCTATATATATGTGTGTGTGTGATTCCGTGTGTGTGTGTGTGTGTGTGTGTGTAAAAGAAAAGCAAAGAAAGCCAAGTACAGGAAGATGGAGATGGAACAGGAGTGGGGTGCTATTCAATATGGGTCTGCCTGGTAAGATGACATCTAAGCAGAGACCTGGAGAAAGTGAGAAAGTGAGCCATGAGGATATCCAGCAGAAGAATGGTATAGGCAGGGAAACCAGCAAGTGCAAAGGCCCTGAGGCAGGAGTCATAAATGCAGTGTACTGAAACACAGTAAGGTGGCCAATGAAGGGATAATAAGCTGTCGATAAGGTCAAAGACCAAAATAAAGACTTGATATTTCACTCTGAGCAAGAAGAGGAGTCAATGAAGGGATATGAGTAGAAAAACTGATATAATTATAAAAGGATCATTCTGTCTGTTGTATGCAAAATAAATACAGGGGATCAAAGAAAGGTAAAAGCAGGAGATTCAGATAAGGAGGCCTCTGTAATAATCCAGGTGAGAGGCATTAAGCCTAGGCCAATATGGTGGTTCTCACTGTAACAGTAAATGATCTAAAGGTAGCACCAAGGCCCTGGCTGGTTTGGCTCAGAGGTTAGAGCATTGGCCCATGGACCAAAGAGTCACGATTTGATTCCAGTCAAGGATATATACCTTGATTTTGGTTCAATCCCGGTCCCTGGTCCAGGCCATGTGGGAGGCAACCAATTCATGTGTCTCTCTCACATTGATGTTTCTCTCTCTCTCTCCCCCTCCCTCCCACTCTATCTGAAAATCAATGGAAAAATATCCTCGGGTGAGGATAAACAACAACAAAAAAAGGCAGCACCAAGAACACATGCTGATGGACTGGACATGGCATGAGAAACAAACAATCAAGATAACACCATATTGCAGACTTTACTAAACTTCCCATTTCCCTGATTCCTCAACTTCCTCACAAATAGGCTATGAGCATCCCACCCAGGTGGCCAGTGTGGTCAGGCTGGTCCCTGCCACAGGTGTCCCTTCTTGCCCTCCCGACTGTGACAGTGACATTCAAATGTAACAGTAAGATTCCCTTGCACCTTTTGCTTGTAAAGCTGACCCTTGAACAATGCAAGGTTAGGAGCAGTGATGCCAGTGTAGTCAAAAATATAAATATAACTTTTTCTTTATTTAATTTTTTTGTTAATCCTCACCCAAGGATATTGTTCCATTGATATTTTTAGATAGAGTGGAAGGGAGAGAGAGAGAAAGACATTGATGTGAGAGAGACACACTGATTGGTTGCCTCCTGCAGGCCTGGGATTGAGCCTACAATCCAGATACATACCCTTGACTGGGAACTGAACCCGTGACCCTTTGGTCTACAGGCCGACACTCTTAACTACTGAGCCAAACCAGCCAGGGTTCTGTATATAACTCCTGACTCTCCCAAAACTTAACTACCTAATAGCCTACTGCTGGCCGGAAGCCTCACCAATAACATAAAGAGTTGACTAACACAGCCCTGGCCGGTTTGGCTCAGCGGTTAGAGCGTCCGCCTGCGGTCCGGAGAGACCCGGGTTCGGTTCCTGCTAAGGGCATGTACCTCGGTTGCAGTTTGTCCCCGGCCCTGGTTGGTCGTGCGGGTGGCAGCCACTCGATGTGTCCCTTTCACATCGATGTTTCCCTCTCTTTCTCTTCCTCTCTCTCCCTCCCACTCTGTACAAAAAATGGAAAAATGTCCTCGGATGAGGATTAAAAAAAAAAAAAGAGTTGACTAACACATATTTTATATGTTATATGTATCATACATGGCAGTCTTATAATAAAGAAAACTAGAAAAAATGTCATTAAGAAAATCATAAGAGATACATTTACAGTTATTTACTGGAAAAAAATCCATGTATGAGTGGACCCTCACAGTTCAGATACCTGTTGTTCAAGGGTCAGTTGTGTACTCCACCATGACCCCCAATGAAGGCACTTGCCCACAGGTCCTCACTCACTCGGCTCCCCACTTGCTGGGCTGAGCCCACTCCATGGACACTCCTTTCCTATGGCCCCTGTATGGTGTACTGTGCCTCCCTCTCTAGGACTTAAGTATAATAGTCCTTTAATTTCATAGGCCTCTCCCAATGTAATTTCTGTAGACATGCTGGATTGATCCTTAAAGACACCACAAGGGGGACTTACTTCCCCATTTACAACACAAACACCAAGGTTTTTGGTCTGAGCAACTGGCAGAGCCGGGCCATTATTTTCTGAGATGGGAAAGACTATATAGGAAGAACAGGTCTTGGAGGTGGTTCTGACAGTATCGTTGCATCTGAGGCCTTTTATTTGCTGGGTAATAGGTTCTATTATCATTGTGATCATGAACTAAAGAAACCTGTCTTGAAAAGGAAAGAAAGCTGCTATGAACAAGATAGGAAATCTATAAATGTTCATTGCTGGTGACAAGAAAATTCACAACTGCAATTCACTTGTATAGCTACTCAGTCACAAGTGTGACAGTTTAATGCAATCCTGAGAGGGCCCTTCTCTGCTTATCACCTCTGAGTCTACACACAACAAGAAGTGCAACCTTCCATGCTTCTCTCTCACTAAAGCCTTACTACATATCTTCACAGGCTGGTCTCACTGAGACTGCCTTGCGCTCCTCATCAGTAACCAGCCATCCAATGTCAACCTCAGATGTGCTACCAAAGCTCCGCCCTGGAAGGGTGGTCAGGAAGAAGAGCGTGGAGGATTATTCACACTGCAGCTCACAACTAAAAAGTCTACAGAACTGAAAAAATTAAATGCATCTCTGTGAAGTCAGTGAAAAGCATATTTTGACATGTGTCTAAGTAGAGAACTATTCTGGAATAGAATATTTTAAGAATTGCTAGTCTAACCCAAAGCAAAAACAAACTAGGGAGTCTATAAATAGTAGGTATATTAACCAATGACTATATCCTCCCCCAACTATCTTTTGGCTTAAAACCCTGGTTAAATTTACTTTTGGGCTCAACTATATGGAGGAAAAGCAAAACAAAATAGTCTTTTCTCCCAGGAAAAGAGGTTACATGACTGAATTAACATTCTGACTATCCATCTCTTACTCAGTAAATCAGGCGAGATGCCAACTCAGAAAAACCTACCGTTGACTTAGTTCGGGATGCTGTGTTAAATGTTTCAGCCAGGTGCTTCTTATCACATTTCGAAGTTCATGGTTATTGCGGGCTGACAACACACCAACTACCACATCATAGTGACTAGATTTCCACTGAGGAAACAGGGCCAGTTGATCTAGAAATAAGCAACAATAAATTAGAAATGTCACGTCTCTATGACTATGTTCAATATGTAACACAAAAATGTTTATTACAAAATAATATATGTTCATGTTTGTAGAAAATACAACTACAAAGAAGAAATGAATTTTAAAGCATCCACAAACCCACCATCCAGAGATAACTACTACTAACATTTTGGTGTCTTCCACACATATGTATGTATTCATGCTCATGTAAGTAAACAAATCTTCAAAACAAACAAGATGTTTCTAGCAAGAATCAGTTTGAAAAGGCATTGTAGCATAAACTACAGAATAGTGGGCGGAAAGAGTCAACTAGGCCATACTCAGAATCGTGGCTCTTTTATATTACATATAAGTTATTTAACTTCTTGAAGCTCAGTTTCCTTAACTATGAATGAGCATAATAACATTTTTCATGGAGTTGTAAATTAAATGAGATAATATGTGTAAAAGTACTGGTTTGGTACCAGGCAAATAGTAAGAACTCAGTGGCAACTAACAACAAAAATATGCTTTCATAAGTGAAGTCCTACCTTAATATTAGTTATTAGGTTTGGGAGACAAAGCTGAAATACTCCCATGCTGGGAAGTACCAGAACCCTTATTAATGCCAATAAATTCTACAGCCAGCAAACCTTTTATCATTTACTAAATATTCTGAAGAATGAAGGAGGGGAAGCAACATTCGTAGAAAAAAAAAAATCAAGTGACTAGTCATGTGAAAGGCTCATTTTTTACTGTCATAAGGTCTAAAGGGCAGGATTACAATTTAAAAATGTGTCCTTAGAAGACAGAAGGAAAAAATACTTTGTCCCTGTTTTTTCGTCACCAGTTTCAAAGCTTGAGAGCTACAGGCTTATAAATAGCTCTGATGAGGGATCTATTTCATCTCTTTCTCCAATGGCGGGAACTGATTCAAATGTTTCTAAAAATAAATTACTGAAGGCTAGAGATCTTTACTATGGTAAATGCAATGTTTTTATATACCATAGGATCTAGGTATTCAGTCGAAAGACCTTTTTTTCAAAGGACCAATTAAAATGACAAAAAAATCTGGGAACACATTCTTCTAAGTAGGGTAATTTAAGGGCATTACATTGTGACAATTATAGGAATACAGGAATTTTTGTGTAGATACCTTATTTTCACAATAGGTATGTTTCTTAAAAGGTACTTCAATTCTAAATGGAATAGAGATACTTGTTATTTCACCCTATTATGAATCTTGCACTGAAACAAATTCTTCTATAAAGGCATAATTTATCTTTAACATAATCCCAAATTTATTCATGGATTAAGTTTGCTTATTTTATTTATTTATTTATTTATTTATTTTTGGTTAATCCTCACACATCGATATTTTTCCATTGAGTTTTAGATAGAGAGGGAGGGAGGGAGGGAGGGAGGGAGGGAGGGAAAAATTGATATGAGGGAGAAACACTGATTGGCTGCTTCCCACATGACTCCAACTGGGGCTGGGATTGAACCTACAACCCAGGCACCTGCCCTTGACCAGGAATCAAACTCGTGACCCTTTGGTCCATGAGCAGATGCTCTAACCCTGAGCTAAACTGGCCAGGGCATTAAGCTTGCTTATTTATTAATTATTAACAGGCCATATTTATACAGCTACTAAGTTCTATGTATAGAGTATAATTTTAATGCTTTGCATGTAGAGTATCATTTAAGGCTCACAAGCCTATGACGTATGTAGTTTAGGCTTCTTGCTAAACACATGAAACACACAGAATTCAGTAACTTCCCTTTAGTTAAACAGCTAGTAAACGGCTGGCTAAGATTTAATCCTGGCAATCTGACTGCATTCTTCATCACTATTTTGTTCCATAGCTATAAAGCTTAATGTAGCTCATCAGAGCCTAAATTCTGATCTTTTACCCGTAACACAGGTTCAAGTGGTGAATTAGTGATAAGTGAATCACTGAAAATGCTGGTTAGCACTTTAATTTTTTAAAATTCATGGCCCAGGAACATTTTTTCTCAGATTTAACTATACAATGAAAGTTGTACCTACTGCTGGAACTAACTCTAAATGAACCTGAATTTGAATAATTTAAATGCATATGTAATATTTGTAATGATATCCCATCTCAGAGAGAAATATTAATAGTAAGTACATTTTTTGTGACAGGAGTGAGGCAAATGGAGTAACCAGACATATCTGACACTAATTCCATAGTCAACATGCTGCAGAGAGTATCAATAAGAAACTATTTAAATTCCTTGTGCCTCAGTTCCCTAATTAGAGAAAATACAAAAAAAAGTCTCTAGATACTCTATCTCAAACTGTCTTCTCAAAAGATTAAAAGCTGTAGAAGAGCAAAAAGCCTAAATACCTCATTTATCTGATATTGGAAAACAAGGCTGTTGCACACAAGTGAAATTTCAAAATAACTGAAACATCCTTCTAACTGCCAAACATTACCTTCTTTTGATGGACAATCAAAATCAATCTTTTAAAAATGGATTACATGAAATATAATTTAACCCTTTCTTGATGATAAAATATTCATGAACAAGTTCTTAAATTTATCCCTTTCTTGTCATTAATTCTAGCTGCTGTTTCAGTTCACACTTTTACAAGGGTGTCCTTATGGCTTCTCCCTGACTTCTCATATGACTTCATATCGAACAAGAGTCTTCTAAAAATAAATCAACAAATAACTAAAGATGAAGATAACCACATGGCATAAGAAACTCCCAGGGAGCATAGCTGTAAACTGCCTTCCGGTCTCACCCCACTCCTCTGCCCCTGCCAGTCCCCTCTGCTTCCAACCCATGTCTGAGCTGCTTCTGTTGAAGTGCTTTTTCTCCTTCTCTTACAGAAGAGATGTACAAGGCAGATTTTAGCCTTTTAGAGAATTTCTATTTCCAGAGACATTGAAAAATAGGTTTCTAAAGGCCCAACCAAAAAGATGAATAAACTAATTCAGTAAAATTGTAGGATACAAAATCATTTTTGAATACTGGCAAAAGTCAGTTGTATTTCTATACCCTAACAAACTATCACAAAATAAATTAAGAAAACAATCCTATTTACAAATAAATAAAAAAGAATAAAATACCTAAGAATAAATTTAACCAAGGAGGCAAAAACTATAAGGCACTGGTGAAAGAAACCGAAGAAGACACAAATGAATGAAAAAATATCCTGTGCTCATGGGTTACAAGAAATAGTTAAAATGTCCATACTACCCAAAGCAATCTACAGATTCAGCACAATTTCTACCAAAATTCCAATGGCAATTTTTACAGAAATATAACCAATAATCTTAAAATTTGCATGGCACTACAAAAGATCCCAAATAGCTAAAGCAATTTTGGGAAGGAAGAACAAAGCTGGAGGCATCATACTCCCTGATTTCAAACTATATTACAAAGGTACAGTAATCAAAACTGGTATTGGCATAAAAACAGGCAGATCAATGGAATAGAATTAGAGTCCAGGGGGAAATTCCTTTATGACAAAGGAACAAAAAATATACAATGGGGAAAAAGTCTCTTCAATAAATGGTACTGGGAAAATTGAACAGATAAATGCAAAAGAATCAAACGGAAATACTATCTCATACCATATACAAAAATCAGTTCAGAATGGATTCAAGATATGAACATTAAGACTTGAAACCCTAAAACTCCTAGAAGAAAACATAGGCAGTTAGCTCCTTGACACCGGTCTTGCTGATGAGGTTTTGTACTTGACACCAAACACAAAGGCAACAAAAGCAAAAATAAACAAGGGGGACTATATCAAACTTCTGCACAGCAAAGGAAACCAGAGACAAAATGACCTACTGAGTGGGAGAAAATATTCGTAAATCATTTATCTGATAAGGGATATTTAAAATATAACCACTCCGATCTAAAAATGGGCAGAGGGCGCGCTCTCAGGAGCAGGCCCATGCCTCTCTTCCCTCTCAGATGTGCATCTTTACTTTTCTCTCCTAGGGTCCCCACAAGACTTGCAACCAGGGGAGCAGCAGACAGTGGCAGCCTGTCTGAGGCCAACCCGCTGAATGTTGTCTCCAAGGTCCCCTTTCACTGACCTTTCAGTGAGCTGACAGAAGCCCTGCCTTGGTTCACGTTTTATAAAAATTAGCTTTATTACACATTTTATTGGTTCTCAAGAATAGATTCATGTTGCCTGAGACTGAGAAACTAATATATTTTTAATAATACATCTCTAACCTTCCTTTTTTTAAATTATTTTTAATTTTGTTAATTTATTTTTGTGAAAGATGCTTCTCTCCCCCGCCCCCCCACCACCACCATTGACACCTTCCTCCCCCCACCCCTGCCACCCCGGTCCCCAGCTTTGTTGTCCATGTCCATCGGTTATGCATACATGCATATAAGTTCTGTGGTTTATCCCTTTCCTCCACCCCCACCCCCTTCTGAGGACTGTCAGTCTGTATCCTACTTCTATGACTCTGGGTCTGTTTTGTTCATCAGTTTGTTTAGTTCATTATATTCCAGAAATAAGTGAGATCATGTGATATTTATCTTTTTCTGCTTGGCTTGGTTCACTTAGGATAATACTTTCCAGGTCCCTCCATGTTGTCTCAAAGGATAAGAGATCTTTCTTTCTTACAGCTGCATAGTACTCCATTATGTATATGTACCACAGCTTTTTTTATCCACTCGTCTACTGACGGACACTTGGGCTGTTTCCAGGTCTTAGCTATTGTAAACAGTGCTGCTATGAACATAGGGGAACATATATTCTTTCTGATTGGTGTTTCAGGTTTCTTAGGGTATATTCCTAGAACTGGGATCACTGGGTCAAATGGCAGTTCAATTTCTAACTTTTTGAGGAAACAACATATTGTTTTCCATAGTGGCTGTACCAGTCTGCATTCCCACCAGCAGTGTACTAGAGTTCCCTTTTCTCCACACCCTCGCCAGCACTTTTGTTTGATTTGTTGATGGCAGCCATTTTGGCAAGTGTGAGGCTCATCGTTTTAATTTGCAT